ATACGGCGAGGCCCGGCGAGACAGAAACATTTTTTAAGCATGGTTAAAAGTTTTGTGCGTATTCGGACATATGGTTTATACGATAACCTTACTCTAGGCGCACGCTGAATATGCTAGAGATCAAGTTACGCCAGATGTACAGGCTAGTGCTCATATACAATGGTATTTCAAAAGCAAGTTGCATCTTGGCAACGAATCGATTCCAACTACGTCATGTTCTGCAGAAAGATCTTTCAGTGGGTTACGAAGGGTGAAGACATACCTTCGTTCCACAATGGGTCAAGAATTGCCTTTCTCTGTATGGAACGAGCATATAGCTCGAGAATGATATGGACAGAATCATTGCTGTTTTTGGCAAACGAAGTCACCGTGCCTCACATTTGTTTTGACAGTATACATAATATAATACAAGGGATAAACTTGTAGGGGAGTTAAGATTAAGTTAGCTAAGTTACATTTATGATATTAAAATAGTCATCAGACTTGGTCTTGTTTCATTAATTTTCTCTTCGTTCTTCACCCGCTCCATGCACAAAATCTCACACCAAAACGCAGGAAATAGCATTCAACATTTCCCAGGGGCGCATGCCCCGGCACCCCTAGCATTTCTCCTGCCTTCGGCGCTCGTCGAGCAGGCTGACATCCGCCCCCCTAAATTTCTAGGGCCGTACGCATATGATGATAGCATTGTGACACATAAAAAATTCTGTAATGCTGCATGTTTTTTTTTAACTCACAAATGCATTTCTCTTCGATAAAAATGCGTTAGGCGTACGGCGCGGGAGGGGGGGGGGGGGGGGAGAAGGGGCATTCGGTAAACGTCGCACAAAAATTGGGAGAAAAAGACTTTAAAAAGAAGACATATGCAATATAGTAGTTGAAAATACAAAAGTAACAAGGTTGGAAATTTTGGAAAATTTACATGGAAAAATTTTTTCAGTAAGTCGGACACAAAGGGGAAAAGTCGGGTAAAATACGCTAGTGGAAAACCAGCTTTAGGTTAGCCTTACCGCGAGTGAATGTTCACATTATATTTTTTTCACAATATAGGTCACCCAAGGTAAGCAAAATTTATGAATACAGAATTCTTGTACACAGGTAAAATGACTGTATCAATTAAATTCTAGTTAAGTTACAAATTTATTAACCCTTTTGAAAAACGTATTGCAAGCCGAGTTTTTAAAGGTCATTATTATTAACGAGTTCGTTTAGTCAACGATTTAAAGCAAAATCAAAGTTAACTGTGGACTGTTGCTATAAGTTTGGTATCTAGACAACGAAACAACGATGATTTTCTTTGTGTTTTTTGTACAAATCTTCGATGACCCCATGACATATTATGGCATGGTATTATGTTGCGTTCTGTGGCATGGTTAGGTATGGTACGATATATCCGGGTATGGGGATGGTGTGGGGTGGTGTATGGTATGATGTGGTACGGTATGCCAGTTGGGATGGTGCGGTGTAGTATAATATATGACGTGGTATTGTAGGGTGTGGTCCGATATGCTGCGGTATGGTACAAAATATATTGTGGTATAGTATGGTACTGTATGGTATGATATGGTACAGTTCGGTACTTGTACGGTACGGTATGGTATGGTAAGGTATGGTACGGTACGGTACGGTACGATGAGTTGTGGTGTAGTATGGTATGGTATGGTATGGTATGGTATGGTATGGTATTGTGTGGTACGTATGGTATGGTATGGTATGGTATGGTATGGTATACATGGTATATGGTTAATTTTAGAGTAAATAAAACAGAATTTACACCGGTGATGTCGGTTTGGTACATTAGAATGTGATACAATTCACTAGAACAAAACATTTTGACTTGATAAACAGTTTAAATGCCGTTACTCAACATTGACTATTTTTACGTATTAATAATGAACGGAACACCAAAAATATATTTATATAAAAAAGGAAGACAATACCAACTTAGGTCCAAACGTTACAATAAATTTCGAAATCATACAAAATATGACCAGCTATGAGCGAATAGATGTTTCAAAATTGCAACGACGAAACAGTATCAACGTTTACAAATTGACAAGAACAAACTCTTAACTCTAAAAATATACCACAACGCAAGCAAAATTGCACTGTAGTTTGTAGCCTGCTGTAAAATTCATAATAACCGATAAATGCAACTTTTGTAGATCCTGTAGTAAGTTTCATAATCACATAAAGCGACACGAATTTAATAGGATACATAATTTGTCAATCAGTATTTTCAAATTGTTCAGGTATAGCTACTGTATTATTTAGAGAAACACCAACACCTGCATGAGTTTGCAGCCATGCTCTTCGACTTGTCAAGGCAGATATCCAATGAGAAACCTGCCAAAACATCTCGGCGATTTCCAGCTGTTCAGTTTTTGGTTTAAAACTCAAATTCACAGTACTCTTTCAAAAATATACGCTTTTATTGAAAGCGTATAAACATTGCGCCACAGGAATTTGTGCGTATTTTGGCTTCCACCAATACCATTTTTGAGTCCGCTCACGGCCCCGAAATATCAAATTTTCAATTGGTCAATTTAAATACAAAAACGGTTGGGTGAAATAATCGGGGGGAAACGCAGAAAAATTAAATAAATAAGCATTTCACATTTTAGAGACGACATTTTTATGTACTTTGAGATATATTACATTTCTCCTTAGAAAAACTGCAAACTATTTCACAAACCAAATATCACATTTCGGTTAGCCTTGACGCGAGCGACTGTTCACATCATATTTTTTCACAATATAGATCACCCAAAGTAAGCAAAATTTATAAATAAGGAATTCGTGTACACAAGTAATCTGACTGTATTTAATAACCGAAGTATTTAGAAATCATTATTACTAACGAGTTCGTTTAATCAACGATTTAAATCAAAATCAAAAGTTAATTGATGGACGGTTACGATTACTCTGGTATCCAGGCAACGAAACAACGATGATTTTATTTGTATTTTTTGTACGAATCTTCGATGATTCCATGACATATTATGGTGTGGCATGGTATAATGTTGCGTTGTGTAGCAGGATATGGTATGGTATGGAATGGTACGATATATCCTGGTATGGTATGGGGATGGTGTGGTGTATGGTATGATGTGGTACGATATGGTAGTTGTGATAGTCCGGTGCGGTATAATATATGGCGTAGTATGGTAGGGTGTGCGGTTTGGTAGATACAATATACGTTGCAGTGGTATGGTATGGTACGGTACGGTTTGGTACGGTACGGTAGGATGCGGTGTGCTGCTCTATGGTAAGGTGTGTTAGGTATGGTATGGTATGGTATGGTATGGTATGGTATGGTATTGTGTGGTGTGGTATAGTGATGTGTGGTTTAGTGTGGTGTGGTATGGTGCGATGTGATATGGCGTGTTCTGGTTTCCCATAATGTGGTATGGTGTGCTGTGGTAAAGTGTGGAGTAGAATAATTTGGTGTGACATGGTATATAGTATTGCGTGGCGTACATGATGTTTTGCGTTAGGGTATGCTGTGGTTTTGTCAGGTGTGGTGTGAAGTGACATGGAATGTTATGATAAACAATGGTATGGTATTGACTCTATATTCTGCTATTTTCATAACGGTTTTTCATGAATTATGAATAAATTTGATTAATATATTTCAGATGCTGATGAATGTGCAAACGAAACACAAAATTGTAGCAATATGAGTGCAATGAAGAGAATATTTCATTCGGTGAAAGATGGAATGTTCCATTCAGCCGAGTTGAATGGAACATTCCATCTTTTACTGAATGAAAACATTCTTACCATTGCACGAATAAACATTCGTTATTTGTTTTATATAATACCAAAATAGGCTAAAGCCTCGTTCACACAGGTAGTAATTCATCAGCGACCTATTGTATTCTTTTCCGCCAGACAAAGCATTTTACACACCAATGTCGACGTCCACAGACAATGGAAATCGCCGATTTTTACGGCCAGTGTGAACCAAGCATAATAGATTCGTACGAGAAGCATTTTGACGGATGCGATTTATCGAAAACACAAAGAGTGCAATGTAATAAAACGTATAGTACAATTGCACTCGCAAAGAATGCAATGGACCGTATTCCATTGCATTCTTGGGAAATGGAATTTTCTATTCAATATCACGTGACCATATAGCCACAATTAAACGATCGGAATTCGTTAGGGGTATTACATAATATGGTATGGTATACTATGGTTTGGTATGGTATGGTACTGTATGGTATGGTATGGTATGGTATGGTACATGAAGTGTGATGTGGTGTTGCTTGGTACGGTACGGTACGGTACGGTAAGGTGTGGTATGGTACATGGTATGGTAAATGGTATGGTATGGTATGATATGGTATGGTATGCTATGATATGGGTTTGGTATGTTATGGGCATGGTATGGTATGGTATGGTATGGTATGGTATGGTATGGTATGGCATGGTATGGTATGGTATGGTATGATATGCTCAAGTGTGGTAAGGTATGGTGTGCCATGGTATGATATCGTCGTTTGTGGGATAGTATGGTATGGTGTCGTTTGGCACGGTATGGTATTGTATGGTGTGTTGTAGTATGGTATGGTATGGTGTGGTTGATTGGTTGGTTGAATATGGTATAGTGTATGTTTTTTGCTATTGTGGGGTTTTGTAAGTTGTTGTATGATATGGTATAACATGGTGTGATGTGCTCTTGTATTATGTGGTATGGTGTAGTGGGATGTTGTGTGGTATGGTGTGGTATGGTATGGCATGTGGTATGGTTTGGTTTGGTAGAATATAGTGTGGTATGGTGAGATAAGGTGAGGTGTAGTATAGTTTGGTATGTGACATGGTATGGTACAGGTTGCCGTGTATGATGTGGTACGGTACGATATGATGTGCTGTTGTCGTGTGTGGTATGGAAGGTTATGTTACAAAATTATATGGTATTTACGTTTTATTATGCTATTCATTACGGTTTTTACGAATTATGATCATGAATGAGTTTGACAAATATATTTCAGATGTTGATGAATGTGTAAACGAAACTCACAAATGTAGCATAAATGCAAACTGCACAAACACTCCAGGTTCATATAACTGCCAATGTCTCAGTGGATACAAGGGGAAAGGAAAGAAATGCTCAGGTACCGATGTCTGAATTTGACTAATTGTGTACAACCCCAGATGAAAAAAATCCTTCTGCCAACCCAATCTTCATTATTGCATTAACTTGCAAAAATAATTAACCGTTACGATCACGTATTGTACTAAGTCATATTTAGACAACTTTAATTTGAGCTGTGATGATTTTCAGACATTGATGAATGCTCTGAAGGAAACTTCACTTGTCATCCAAATGCAACTTGCATCAATACACAAGGCTCATACAACTGTCAATGTAAAGATGGATTCGAAGGGGATGGAAAGAAGAACTGCACAGGTCGAAAGTTTTTTATAAAATAAAATCTATATTTTTCCATCAAATTATTATATTATGGGTCAAATTAAATTTCAACGAAAACTGGGAGAATGGTTGCCAAAAACAGGACATCATATTGGAGAATAAGTTGACGAGCCAGCGCCCATGGTTGGGTAGCCTCGACAATCTCCTCCGTCGTGCCTTACGGATTTTTAGTCAAATTACGTGTGCTACTAGGGCAACAAATTACGTAATAGTTTGTCAAAACACAGTAGGTATGATGTGTATCTAGTTTGTTTCATTTCGCCGACGCTCGTCTTCCGCTTCCGCGTTGCCAACTCTTTCGTCATTAATATTACGTAATTTGATTGAAGATTCGTGAGGTTCAGCGGATGAGAGTGAAGCATCGAGATAATTGTATTTATTGTGTTTTCTTGCAGTTTCAAGAAAAAGTTGTGCCAGTTTATATAAAGCAGGGTTCAGATATGATGGTGTATATACAATCAACCCAGATGACTCGGAATCTTTCCAAGTCAGTTGTGACATGCAAACAGACGGTGGAGGCTGGACAGTGTTTCAAAGAAGACAAGACGCAAGTGTGGATTTTTATCGCGGTTGGCAAGAATATAAAGATGGTTTTGGTGATTTGAACGGAAATTTCTGGATTGGGTTGGAGAAAATACGTCGTTTGACAAAATCTTATCAAAATATTCTTAGAGTCGACTTGACAGATTTTACTAACGAAAAAGCCTACGCAAAGTATGGAACTTTTTCTGTGGCTTCTGAATCTGAATTCTATAAACTGAAAGTTTACAGCTTTTCAGGTAAATATAATCGAATAAGAAATAATGTTATGCCATATAGGCCTACAGCAATCTAACAATTGTTGAACTAGGTTGACCGTGATATGAAAAATTATCAAGACCGAAGTTTGTGTCACAAGCTGAAAGTGGGGGACCGAATTATTCTGCATATCATGTTGAAATTGGATTCATTAAGTGTTAACCCATATTATTTGTGAAAGTTCACAAGTGAAATTTTTCCCAGAATATAATGACGAGTCCTTTTGACGAGCCTTTTTGCAACCATATGGTTAACCTCTCTTGTTTGACCAGTATGCATATGTGCATGATCAATTCCCACGAGAAGATCAACATGCCCGTTTCCACGTCTGAGTTTCTCCCTCGGTAGGCTGAACTGCTCTGCTAGTGCGCTCGATCGGACACCTTTAATTTCGTCACTGATACATGGGATTCCAATTGCTCTAACCACGTACTTCTTCTTATCATCTATTCCAGTCACACTCACTTTGTAAACTTTTGTTTGAATTTCTTCTTCTTCTCCTCCAACTTTTACGATATTCACAGTTATATCTTGCCCATGCAACCGTGGACTGTTCGCAGTCTCTCTTAGTATTAAACTAATTTGGGCTCCAGAGTCAAACAAAATGTTTCCGGGCTTGTGCACTCCATTAGATCCACAGATATTGGCAGTGATCACTGGTAACATTGTGTCCTTTTGTTCAGAAAGGGAAGCAACACCGACAAGTGTTGGTCTGGATTTGTGCAACAATGGATGGTGAGTTGAGGTACATTGATTTCCGCTTTCGACTTTCGTACATTGCTTGCGTCTGCTGCAATTCGCTTGTCGGT